GCCACAGAAAATGGGGGGCAGCCGCAGGGATCATGGACGTACGAGCGACGTCCATGACCATGCCAATGCGGCGCTCAGCAATCCCATTTTGCTGTGGAGAGGCCGGAAGCGTGAACGTCTGGAGGATGCCTCGTGCATGACAGAAGGCTCAAAGAAGGTCAGTGGAAAACTCTTTGCCTCTGTCGGAGTGCAGACGCAAAACAGGAAAGTCCGAGCCGAAACTGTCTCTGAGCTGGAGACGAGCAGCGTTGATCCAGTTGATCAACACCCTAGTGACTTCACCCTTGCTGTGCAAGGGGAAGAGTGTGGTGTAACGCGAGTAGTCGTCAACCACCAGCAAGAAGTAACGCTCGTGACCCTGTCCACGGACGCGGGCTGGGCCCCACACGTCCATGTGAAGCATCTGCAGTGGAGCCTCTGTCGGAGGAAACTCGGAGGAGTGAGGAGCAGCGCGCTGCCGCCCCTCGACGCAGGGAACGCAGGTAGGGGCAGGCCCTGTAGGAAGAGGAGGGAGGGAACGGGGAAGACCAGAGAGAAGGACACTGGAGGCCATGCCTCAGAGATGAGGCAGGGAGGGGTGACCAAGGCGGTGGTGCTAGAGGAGATTCTAATGAGACAGGTTACGGCACGAGTAGGGGGCAGACTCAGGACCAGACCTGGACGTCACAGCAGACACCTGACCCGACGCAGCTACCTGACCAGACGCAGTAGCGTGAGGAGGACTAGTAGTCAGTGTGTACAGGCTCGACCCCGGTCGACGGGTAAACGTGGCCAAGTGTCGTCTCGTCCGAGCACACGTGGAGTGGGTCACTCGCTGACTCGCTGGGGTGAACTGGTGAACCCCCCCATCCTGTAGATCTGCACCACTCACCAAGTTCGTAGAGAACGAGGGGAGGTAAAGACCTGACAGGGTGCCAGAGGGGGCCACCGGACACGGTAAGACAGTGGAGAAGCGGGCAAGGACAGGACCCCTTGAGGGGTCTGCCAAGGAGACCGCCACTGGCCGACTAAGCGACGTGAGTGTGGTGCGGTCTCAAAAGAAGGAACGGGAAGCACCCGAGTCAAGGGTGAAGGTGTGAGAGGCCTGAGTCGACGTGGTACCTAAGAGAGCAGACTCACCAGCACCTGGAGCAGCAGACTCACTAGCACCTAGAGCAGCAGCCTCACCAGCACCTGGAGCAGCAGTCCCAATGCCCATGTCAGGCGGAACACACAGGTAACAGTCACCCTCATCACTAGTAGAAACATCATACATGGCAGCAAGGATAGCATCAAAATCCAGATCAAAGATAGCAACCCCCGCCCTAGACAGCTCTCCCCAGCGAGGGATCTTAGTGGCGTCAGGGAAGTGGTGACGCCAAGCGTCCATCAGGCGGCCGAAGCAGCGCTGGGTAGAGTGCGCGCCCCCGCACTGCTCACCATTGCGGTCACCGGTGCGAAGGACGTAGGTACATAGACCAGTACCCCCACCTCGCTGACGCGCAGCGTACCACTCACGAAGCTGCTGGGGGGTCAGGGTCTCACGAGTGCGCTGCTGCTGCTGGCGCTGACCACCACCGGAACCACCCCTCTGCGCAGAGCCACGACCCGCTCCACCGCTGCCGCCACCAACTCCGCCGCCTCCGCTGCCTCCGCCTCCTCCGCTCCCACCGCCATCGAAGCCGACTCCTCCGCCTCCACCGCTGCCACCGACGCCCCCACCCCCGCCACAACTCCCACCACCACCCCCACCCCCTCCACCGCCTCCACCGCCACCTCCACCGCCCCCGCCAGCTCCTCCAGCGCCGTTGCCCCCTTTGCCCTTGCCGGTGCGGCGTCTCCCGCTAGGGGCAGACGCAGCTCCGACCGACTCGAGGCCAACGAGCTCGGCCGCAGCAGCAGAGGCAACAGAGGGCAAGAGGGGGGAGGGGGAACACCCCTCAAAGACGGGGGTGCGAGGGTCATCACGAGTGTGGTGGGGCAAACTGAAAGGAAGTGGTCCCTGACTAAGCGAAGGGAGTCAGGGAGCCGGGTGACTATGTAGTAGAGGGTGATGTACATGGGGGGGGGGTTCTTGGCGCAGAACTCAGCAGGAAGCGCAGCGCGGTAGCGAGTGTCACTAGTGCAAAGGTGGTAATGAGGTCAGCGACTGTGGGGAAGGCAGCGAGGTCAGGGAACAGGTACGGCAGTATGAGGCGGCTAAGAGCAGCAGTGGCAGGGGAAGAGTAGCACTCTTGTACAAGGTTTTAGCACTCTTGTACCGACTAAAGTGCGCACGCTCAGCGGTCGGTAAGTGGCGACGCACAGCAAGACGGGCAACAGCATCGCGTGTGGCCCACTGCGAGCGAACAGTGCTGTCAACATCAGCAGGCGGGGCAAGAGAGGCACCAGACGTGAGATCAAAAAGGGAGAGACCGTCTGCCCTATCGCACTGTAGGAAAAGCTGCAAGTCATTGACCCAGACCTCAAAGTCAACAGCCCGACCCTCAGCATCAAAGGTAAGGACACTCGGGGTAGCCATGACAGCAGGAGTCTAGTGGTGAGAGCGGCAGGCTAGAGGTAGTGCGGTGGTAGAGACGCTGCTCGGGAAAGCTCTCACCAGTCCGGGTGGGGAGGGTCGGGGCGCGCTGGCAGGAACAGGGCCGCAGTTGCGGCTGCAGTGGCTCGGCGGCTCAGGAGTGGCTCGGCGTCTGGGCGGCAGCTCGGCGGCTCGGCGGTGGCTCGGCGGCGGCTCGGCGTCTCGGCGGCGGCTCGGCGGCTCAGTGGCGGCTCGGCGGCACGGCGGCTCGATGGCGGCTCGGAGGCTGCTCGGCGGCTCGGCTGCAACGGCGGCAACGGGGTCGTAAGAGGGCGGCAGTGGGGGCCGCTGAAGGGCGGCGACGGGGCCGCAGTAGGGCGGCGACGGGGTCGCTGAAGGGCGGCGGCGGGGCCGCTAGAGGGCGGCGACGGGGCCGCGGTAGGGCGGCGACGGGGCCGCGGAAGGGCGGCGGCGGGGCCGCTAGAGGGCGGCGACGGGGCCGCGGTAGGGCGGTGATGGGGCCGCTGAGGGTCGGCGGCGGGGCCGCTAGAGGGCGGCAACGGGGCCGCTAAAGGGCGGCGACAAGGCCGCTAAAGGGCGGCGGCAGGGCTGCTAGAGGGCGGCGACGGGGCCGCGTTAGGGCGGCGACGGGACCGCTGGAGTGCGGCGGCGGGGCCGCTGGAGGGCGGCGACGGGGCCGCTGCAGGGCGGCGGCGGGGCCGCTGAAGGGCGGCGGTTGGGCCGCTAGAGGGCGGCGACGGGGCCACGGTAGGGCGGCCACGGGGCCGCTGGAGGGTGGCGGTGGGGCCGGTGGAGGGCGGCGACGGGGCCGTAGTAGGGCGGTGACGGGGCCGCTGAAAGGGCGGCAGCGGGGCCGCTAGAGGGCGGCGACGGGGCCGCTTGGAGGGCGGCGACGGGGCCGCGAAGGGCGGCGACGCAGCCGCAAAGGGCGGCGGATGGGCCGCGAAGGCGGCGACGGGGCCGCGAGAGGGCGGCCAGGCCGCAAGGGGCGGCGACGGGGCCGCTAAGGGCGGCGACAGGGCCGTGAGAAGGGGCGGTGAGAGGGGCCGCTAAGGGCGGCGCGACCGGCCGCTAAGGGGAGGGCGGGCCACAGGGCGCGCCTCGGTCAGGGGCGACTCGATCTCAGGGCAGAAAAAAAAAACTTTAGTGGTGGGCCCAAGGAAAAGTTCCCACTAGGGAACCTGCTCTATACCATGTGAACAAATGAGGAATGAATGAACTAGGAAAGAGGTGGGTACAAGTAGGAAACCCTAAAAGTGTTGTACCCTATACTGTCTACCCCACTATAGCCTACACAGACTATAGAGTATAAGTTCGACAGATTACGGGGAGAACCGCCGTCACAGAGCGAGAGTACGGCGGCGACGTCATGCTTTGTGGGTTGAAGACCTACACCACATGCGGGACAACGACTTCCAGGACCTTTTCAGGATAAACCACGACATACTTGAGCATATCAAGACTGGGATGCAACACTATCTAGAGCCCATAGTACACCGGTCAATACTCACAATGGACACCGCGGTGCTCATCTTTATCAAGTACCTGGCGTCAGGAATTTCCTACGTCGACATGTCGTACCTGTTCGGTGTCTCCAAGACACTCTCCCATGAGCTTGTCGACGTGCTCCTCACCGAGTTCCCCTCCGTCTTCAAGGCCGCCTGGGTGCGCTTCCCCACACGCGAAGAGCTTCCCGAGATGGCGCGCGAATTCGCAGCCATCAAAGGTGTACCTGCACTGGTGGGGGCTGTGGACGGGACTCATATCCACATGAAAGGGATGGAAGGGCACAGAGCGGAGTACTGGACAAGGAAGTCGGCCTATGCCGTACAACTCCAGCTCACGTGTGATGCACGAGGCAGGATATGGGACTATCTAATCGGCTATCCCGGCAGCGCGCACGACATGCGGGTTTTCAAAGAGTCTGCACTACTAGAGAGGTTATACAACGGGGACATAGCGCCATACCAGATTGTTGGTGATGCGGCCTACCCTCTATGAGAATACTGCCTAACACCCCTGCATGCCCCACGCGGAGAGGACCTCATGGACGACTGGGCACAATGTTTCAACTACTGTAAGAGCGCCACACGCATGGCGGTGGAGAGGTGCATCGGCGCCTTCAAAGGGAGATGGCGCATCTTCACCCAGCGCAACGACTGCAGGTTGTGGCGCATTCTCGCTGGGGTCGCGTGTTGTGTGATCCTGCACAACATGTGTGAAGAGATGCAAGAGGTAAGGCGCAAGAACATGGCCTGGGAGAACCTTCCCCGCAACCACGATCCATGGTGGACGCGGGGTGCTATTGCGACACACAAGTGGGAACCGTGTGTTCCCCCAACACAACAGGCACTGAGGGAGAGGCGGAAACGACTGGGTGAGGCACTCCAGGACTCTTACGCTAATCATCGGTGCCGCGCACCCATATTTCCACATCCTCAACAGCCGGAGGTTAGGTGTTGACGTCGCCCACATCTTCTCGCTACTGTGCGGCTTCGGGAGGTGGCGCGGACTCCCCGCGTGGCGGAGGAGGGGAGAAATCCGGCGGCGCACGGTGCACATCCGAGGGAGCCGATTCAGTCTTGCGCTCGCGGGCAAGTCGCATGTCTTGCGCCATCCATTCACGGACAAGGCCCTCAATGCGGGTCATCGCATCACCGTGGCAGTCCTTGATGGTGGCGGAGACCAGCATGGCCGCTTGCATGGTAGCCGTCTCATGCACCCGGGCGCGCCTGGGTGTGGCAGTGGTCGTCGGCGACGGAGCTGTGACAGAGGAGCAGGGAAGATAGTAGGTTAGATTAGTCCGTGCACACGATGATCATGTATCGTGCATATTAGCTGATAATAATAACGGCAGCTTAAAACTATGACCTGTATGGCAAACATGCAAACCAAACAACGTGGAATAGTAGGAACACTCACCCGTGTAGCATGGTGTTGACGTGCCTGGCTGGGACGAAGTTGGAACCTCCATGCCGGCCGGCACGTTGACGTTAGTCGCGCCGCCTCCGTCCACCGCATGCGGTGCGGCTGCGGTGGTGTATTGGTTATGCAGCTCCAGGTACGGATACCATGGTGGTTTCTCCACCGAGCCGTTGCCCGACCCCCCGTCGGCACGCTTGTACTCCCGCCAAAGGAGCATCAAGTTACGCCACTGCTTCTGCAGTGCGTTGACTCCCCTGCACCATCCGGGGTTCGACTCCTTGATGTGTGCGAGCAGCCGGGCCCAGTATTGCGTCCGCTGCTTCCCTTTGAGAGGCTCGAGCTCCTCTTTCATGAACCATTTCGCCGCGGCGAAAATGGTGCTCTCCTTGTCAGACCATAAGCCCCGCTCGACTGGTGCTGCCGCCCGTTTCTTCCGCGGCTCCGGGCGTGCTGCAGGTTGCGCCGCCTTGCCTTTGCTCTTATCAGACCCTGGTGCGCGTGCGGCGCTCCGTCTTGGCGGCTGAGCGACAGGCCGTGCTTTCTCCTGGGCGTCCTCCTCAGCGTCCTCATCGTCGTCGTCGTCGTTGTCGTCGCTGGGCGACATTCCAAGGTCGTCTGGTTCCTCCTCCTCGTCTTCGGAGTCAAGGCCTTCGTTGCGGTCGTCGTAGTCAGCATCATCATCGTCCTGCTCCATGACTGGCCGGTGCGTTGCTGCCGTCCTTTGCAGGCTGACGGCGCACACGTGACGGGGCCGTTGTGGGCGACTGTGCACTGGATCCCTGGCCGTCAAGCACTGGCGCCGCGGATAATCCCCTAGAATGGCGCCCGTTGGTGATCTGCTGGTTCATCCAGCGGATGTACGGAATGTCGTTTAGATCCTTGGGGCAGTCATTAAGGGCCTACCCCTTACGCTTACGAGCCATGCTGGCGGCTAGAGGGTTTCTGGCTCTAGATCTAGAGGGAGCGGAGGCAGGGAGAAAATCACAGATTGGTACTTCAAAGATAGTCGTCAAACTCGACCTCGTAAGGGATTGAGAGGCAGCCAGAGTTGTGGGGGGGGTGCACTGGAAATGGGGGAAGGCGCAATGGCGGGGGAGTGCATGTCCCTCTCAATAATTCTGGTTGTGTTGTCTCCACCAATGACAACGCTGAGTATGCGTTGATGGGGATAGAGGGTCACGCAAAATGTTGTCCAGATACATGCTGCATGAGATGACATTTGGCACAGCGTGCGATTGATGGGGTGTGTTGCAATTAGCTGGCGAATGTTCCGTGAATCACGCCACCCAATGATAAATACATTCGGTGCCAACCACAGGCGGCGCGGCATTCCGACACCTGGCAGCTATCAAATTATAATATTCTGTAGGCTATAGTGGGGTAGCCCATATGGGGTACACATTTCTAGGGTTGCATACTTGTATCACTTTCATTCCATAGTTCATTCATTCTCGTTCTACTTTTCTCATGGTATCGAGCAGGTTCCCCCGTGAGAACTGTGCCTAGGGCCCACCACATCGAGTTTTTTTTTTTTCCTGCCCGAAGCGCGCTCGGCCGGAGTCGCGCTCCGGGCCCTCTCTCGCTTTGTCGAGCCGCCCTAGAGGCCCCGCCGCTCGTCGATTAGGCCCCGCCGCCTCACACTGAGGCCCTACCGCCCTTCGTCGCGGCCCTGCCGCCCTTCGTCGCGGCCCCTGCCGCCCTTCGTCGCGGCCCCGCCGCCTCTCTCGACGCGGCCCCGTCGCCCTTATTCGCGGCCCTACCGCCCTTCGTCGCGGCCCCTGCCGCCCTTCGTCGCGGCCCCTGCCGCCCTTCGTCGCGGCCCCTGCCGCCCTTCGTCGCGGCCCCTGCCGCCCTTCGTCGCGGCCCCTACCGCCCTTCGTCGCGGCCCCGCCACCCTTCGTCGCGGCCCCGCCGCCTCTCTCGACGCAGCCCCTGCCGCCCTTTGTCGCGGCCCCTGCCGCCCTTCGTCGTGGCCCCGCCGCCCTTCGTCGCGGCCCCGCCGCCTCTCTCGCTGCGGCCCCGCAGCCTCACACTGAGGCCCCGCCGCCCTTCGTCCCAGCCCCGCCGCCTCTCTCGTTGCGGCCCCGCCACCATTCTCTGCGGCCCCGCCGCCTCTACCACCGCGGCTCCGGCACCTACCTTGCGGCCCCGCCGCCCTTCACCGCCCGCTCCGCCCGAACCACCTGAGCCGCCCGAGCCGCCCGAGCCGCCTGAGCCACCCGAGCCGCCCGAGCCGCCCGAGCTGCCCGAACCGCCTGAGCCGCTGAGGAGCCGAGCCGCCCGAGCCGCCCGAGCCGCCTGTGCCGCTGAGGACCCGAGCCGCCCGCGCCGCCCGAGCCACCCGAGCCGCCTGAGCCGCCTGAGCCGCCCGAGCCGCCCGAGCCGCCTGAGGAGCCGAGCCACTGGTACTGCGGAGTTGCAGTTGCTGCTGAGCCGTCCGAGCAGCAGTGTTGCCGTGTTGCTGTGCTACTGAGCTGCCTGAACCGCCCTGTCTGGTGAGAGCAGCACTTCTGTCACTGCACTGCCCCTGTCCTACAGCCAGTACTGCTAGTCCACTATTGTCATGGCTACCCCTAGTGTCCTAGCTTTTGACGCTTAGGGACGCGCCATAGACTTTGAGGTCTGGGTCGACGACCTGCAGCTGTTCTTACAGTGCGATAGGGCAGACGGTCTTTCTCTCTTTGACCTCACCTCTGGCGCCTCTCCTGCCCCTGCTGCTGATGTTGACCCTACTATTCGCTCCCAGTGGGCCACGCGCGATGCTGCTGCACGTCTTGCTGTGCGTCTCCACCTCCCTACCTCTGAGCGTGCGCACTTTAGTCAGTACAAGAGTGCTCAGACCTTGTACGACGCTGTAGTTGCACGCTACTCCTCCCCTGCCACTGCTGCACTGAGCCGTCTCATGCTACCGTACCTCTTCCCTGACCTTGCTGCCTTTCCCACAGTTGCTGACCTCATTACGCACCTCCGCACTAGTGACACTCGCTACCGTGCTGCGCTTCCTGCTGACTTCTGCGCCAAGAACCCCCCCCCCCCCCCATGTACATCACTCTCTACTTCATAGTCACTCGTCTCCCTGACTCCCTTCGTGTAGTCAGGGACCACTTCCTCTCAGTCTGTCCCACCACTCTCACTGTAGACCTCCTCGAGAAGTCCCTCCTAGCGGCCGAGAAGAGCATAGTCGCTGTAGGGGCCTCTCGTGGTGACCCTCGCACCCCCATCTTTGAGGGGTGTTCTCCTTCCTCCCTTTTGCCCTCTGTCGCCTTTGCCGCTGCGGCCGACCTCGTTGGTCTTGAGTCGGTCGGTGCGGCGTCTGCCCCTAGCGGGAGACGCCGCTCTGGCAAGGGCAAGGGGGGCAAGGGCGCGGGTGGAGCTAGCGGGGGCGGTGGAGGTGGAGGTGGAGGCGGCGGAGGGAGTGGGGGTGGCGGTGGGAGTGGTGGCGGGGGTGGAGGTGTCAGTGGCAGTAGTGGAGGCGGAGGCGACGGAGGCGGCGGCGGTACTGGCGGAGGCGGCGGTGGTGGCGGAGGTGGAGGAGGCGGTGGTGGAGGTGGTGGAGGTGATCGGGGTGGCGCTTCGCAGCGGAGCAGCACTTGTGGTGGTCAGCGCCAGCAGCAGCAGCAGCGTTCTCGTGAAATCCCCCCCCCTCAGCAGCTCCGTGTGTGAGCGTGTATGAAGAAGTGTTTTGAGACGCAGCGTCAGCGTGGTGGGGGTTTTGGTCCATGCACCTACGTCCTTCGCACCGGCGACCGCGCGGGTGAGCAGTGTGGGGGTGCCCACCCCACCCAGCGCTGCTTTGGCCGCCTGACGGACGCTTGGCGTCAGCAGTTCCCGGAGGCCACTGAGATCCCCCGCTGGGGAGAGCTGTCTAGGGCAGGCGTAGCTATCTATGATCTTGACTTTGATGCTATCATTGCTGCCATGTATGCTGTGACTATTAGTGATGAGGGTGACTGTTACCGGTGTTTCCCTCCCGACCCGGGCATTGGTACTGCTGCTCTAGGTACTGGTGAGGCTGCTGCTCTAGGTGCCAGTGAGTCTGCGCTCTCAGGTACTGGTGAGTCTGCGCTCTCAGGTGCTACGTCGGCTTCGGCCTCCCTCACCTTCACCCTTGACTCTGGAGCGTCTCGCTCCTTCTTTCGGGACCGCACCTCACTCACGCCGCTTAGTCGGCCTGTTGCGGTGTCTCTGGCTGACCCCTCTGGGGGTCTTGTCCTGTCTCGCTTCTCCATAGTCCTCCCGTGTCCGGCGGCTCCCTCTGGCACCCTGTCTGGTCTCTACCTCCCCTCGTTCTCTACGAACCTGGTGAGTGGTGCTGACCTACAGGATGCGGGTGTCCACCAGTTCACTCCTGCGCGTTAGCGGGTGACGCACTGCACAGAGGCTATCACAGGCCGACACCCGGGGTCGAGCCTGTACACACTGACCACTGCGTCTCCTCCCGTTGCTGAGTCTGGCAGGGTAGCTGCGTCGGGTCAGGTGTTTGCTGCAGTGTCAAGGTCTGGTCCTGAGTCTACCCCCTGTTCGTGTCGTCTCCTGTCTCACGAGACTAGCCTCTGGCACCACCGCCTTGGTCACCCCTCTCTGCTTCGGCTCAGAGGCATGGCCTCCCGTCTTCTTGTGTCTGGTCTCCCCTGGTCCCTCCCTCCCCTTCCTCAGGGCCCTGGCCCTGCCTGTGTCCCCTGTGTCGAGGGGCGCCAGCGGGATGCCCCTCACTCCTCCCAGTTTCCTCCGACAGAGGCCCCGTTGCAGACGCTTCACATGGATGTGTGGGGCCTCGCCCGCGTCCGTGGACAGGGTCACGAGCGCTACTTCCTGCTTGTTGTTGACGACTACTCGCATTACACCACAGTCTTCCCCTTGCGAAGCAAGGGTGATGTCACTGAGGTGCTGATCGACTGGATCCGCGCAGCTCGTCTCCAGCTTAGGCAGAGCTTTGGCTCGGACTTTCTTGTTCTGCGTCTGCACTCGGACAGAGGCGGAGAGTTCTCCTCTGGCCTTCTGCGAGCCTACTGTCCTGCACGAGGCATCCGTCAGACCTTCACGCTTCCGGACTCACCGCAACAAAATGGGATCGCTGAGCGCCGCATTGGCATGGTCATGGACATCGCTCGTACGTCTATGATGCATGTGGCTGCCCCCCATTTTCTGTGGCCGTTTGCGGTCAGGTACGCGGCGCATCAGATCAACCTTCACCCCAGGGTCTCCAGGCCGGAGACCTCCCCAGCCCTGCTGTGGACGGGGAAGGTTGGCGATGCGTCGGCGTTCCGGGTCTGAGGATCTCGGGCGTTTGTCCGCGACTTGTCTGCGGACAAGCTGTCCCCTCGCGCTGCTCCTTGCGTCTTCCTGGGGTTCCCCCCTGACGCGCCTGGGTGGCAGTTCTACCACCCCACCTCTCGATGTGTTCTGTCCTCCCAGGACGTCACGTTCGACGAGTCGGTCCCCTACTACCGCCTCTTCCCCTACCGCACTCCGTCCCTCCCCCCCCCCCCCCCCCCCCACTCTTCCTTGTACCAGGTCCCCCCCCGGTAGACCCCCTCCCCCCTCAGGGTCCTGCCCCTTCTGGTGTGTCGCAGGTAGACGCAGTCGAGCCTGTCGAGGTCACTG